TTGAAAAGTTCAAATCACACCCTTATGGTTTTATTAATTAATTAAGGAGTATAATTAAAAGAGGTTTAATAAATCCATAAAAGTTTAGGTTAACCTTTTAATTGAATTAAAAGTGTAATTGTTAAAGTTAACCATATAGTATTTTAAAAGTATAAAATACCTATACTATATATAACATTAAAAGTCTAACATTATATATATGTATAAGTAAAAGTCAGTCTTACCGTTAGTAGGCCTCATTCACGAAGCTGGTCTATAAGGGGTGTTTAAGGAAATTGCCTATAAAATGGCGATTGAATGGGTATCCACTCTTACCCACCGCACTCTTGACTAGTGGAGGGTCGTTAGCCGAACGGGTAGGATAGGACGAAACCTTCCATTATAAGTATAATGAAATACAAAGTAACTAAATGTTTTTCAAATTCCCAATCTTAGTTACTTAGGCAAAAGTGAATTGATGCAATTCCATGAAATTACACTTTGTGCCCTTGCGAAGACGTTAGTGGAGCGTGTGTGGTTTACCGGCACACTAAATGGTTCTAAGCAAAGGTAGCAAAGGGTGACTCAATGTTTGTCATAGTTCGGTGGAGCGTGTGTGGTTTACCGGCACATCGAATAGGTGATTGTAACATGTGAGAGGCACCATGTAGTTTGCATGGTTATTCACACCCGCTTTGTGATCCTCGGCATCCCAGTCACAAACAAGAGGGCATATCGAGATTTAAACATGCCATTGAAAGTTCAATGAATCTCAAAGGATCTAGGAGTTTTCATAGATTTAAACTTAAATTTCTTTTCGTTTTTCATGGTGGAAATTAGTGAATCGTCATTCACTTACCTTCAAATGTTCTGCAATTTGGGTTACGGCATCCCTCTCCCGAGTTGTAGGATATTGTGTTGGGTCCTAGCCTTGGAATTTCATTTGGTGATTTACCAAGGACTCAATCAATCAACTAACTTGAATTCGTTTTTCTCCCGATGTCAAAGTTCGACAACTATGGTCTTCTCAAATCCCGTGGAACAATCATTCCACATGAAGATGATATTCCACGATTCGATCGAGGAACAAGAAATCATGCTTCACTTCCTCCTCCTCCTCCAATTATTCTCCCTAACCCACAAGATTGTAAAATTGAAAAAGTTCAATATCACTCAAGCCCTTTTGGCAAGTAAACATAAAGAAGGAAAGTCGGTGTGTGCACACGTCTTAGGGATGAAGTCACACTGTTGGGATCCGTTGTCTTTGTGAGGAATGGCTGTTGATTGGGTTCTTCAATCACTTCCTAACTCATATAGTGAGTTCGTAAGAGAGTACTATATGATGAACCGCGACGTGACCCTTATAGATCTCACCTATATGCTTGTTGCTGCTGAATCAGCAATGGTTTGGCACAATAGAAAAGCAAAGTTGATTGGTGAATCCGCCTTCAAGACCTCTATGGATATAGACAATGGCAATGAAAGACATGCAATGATCGAAAAGTGTGATCATAAGAGAAAGGCGATGTCTGAAGTAGTTCCATGTGTTGTTCCAAAGGAGTCAATTTTCTTTTATTGCCAAAAGAAGGGGCATTGGAGACAAAGTTGCCCTATTTACCTAAGAGATCTAAGAGATGGGAGAGTCAAAAGTATGACTACGCTTTAGGTAAGAATCCACTATCTAACTCCATTAAGTTCCGATTCATTGATTCTTAATACATGATGCGATAAGATTGCATTTGAATGTTTTGAAGGATCGGTGAAAAGAAAGGAAGCTTGATAAGAGAGCAAGATGAATCTAATCACAAGAGATGGATCTCGATCTCATGGAATTGAAGATTGGATTTTGAGCTTAGATAGTTATGATAGAGTTGTTAGAAATTTTCTTTTTACATAGTTTTCAATAGATTTTGCATTGTAAGGACAAATTTTTTTCCGCTGCTTTTATAAATAAAATAAATTTTGTTTGATTTATTTATTTATTTGTTTACTTCCTTGCAATGAAATCATTATGTGAAAATTGATGTTTGCAACGAATGGATATGATTCTTAGTTATGTTATTTATGGAAATGTCAAGAATTTACCAAATAGGGAGAGTTTCTCATCGCCCAAGTTTCAATTGGACAGAAACTTGGAATCATGCAACGTGGATGCACGATGAATGAGAAATTTCGTAATTGGACTAATTCATTGACAAAGTGTCAAGTGAAGGACTAGGAGATCGAGTACACAAAGTTGTGTGTTGATCAAGTTCACCATAAGAGTAACAAAGATATTCGTCATGATTTACTAAAGGCTTAGTAAATATAATTACACTTACAAGATTAAGTGTAATTTTCAATTGATTAAAGGGTTTAGATCAATAGCAAAACGAATAAAAAGAATCAAGTAGGCAGAAAGATAAGAGTTTCTCCATTCTAAGTAGAAGGGAGAGTAGCTTTTATGCTTTATGATAGGTCTTAATGATTAAGAACCATATCTCAATTGATCCTCTAAGTGAGTCTTGGTACAATTGTATGTCTAAGAAGAGGAATCAAAGATTGAAGAAATGGTCAAATCAAGAAGTCAATCACACTTCGTTTCAATAACAAGTCTTAAAGTTAAGATTGTGACATGTGAGTGAAAAGTATTAAAGGTTTATAACATTCATCAAATGTGGAAAGTTGTGATGTCTTGGATAAGACAAAAGACCAACTAGGACCAATTTGTGAAGTGTTTTGATAAAAAAAACTACACTAACTCTTGAATATTTGTTTGTCAAGAAATGTTTATTAACAAAAGAATCTTATATGTCAAGGAGTCAGTGGGAGTCTTAATGGTCTTGAAAGGTTTCAAGAACAAATCAAATAAACCTTATTGATCATCACTAGCACACGAGTTGAGGTTTACAACCTATCGTGAAGACATTATTTTGTTTCTGTGCCAATCCAATCGAGTTAATTATGCATGTGAGTCCTATGAGTTCTCATTTGAATGCATAAAAGGCAAGGACCTTGATCAATGAAAGTTACATTGATAGGAAATGGTGAGCTGCTTAACTACTTGGAAGACGTGGTGGGCAGCTGTGCTACCATAAGGCAATAAATCAAGATTAAAAGAGTTCGGTCCATATGTGTTTGAATTTGTCGTAAACTCTGGTTTTAACAAATTCACATGGATAGGAACATATACACCATCAAAATCTAAGTGTCATAAGATTTCCTCCTTCATAAAAATGATTGTGAGGAAATGCTTTCACTAAGAAAGATTTTAAGAAGATAGTGATTGTAAAGTTGCATTCTCGAATTCGATCATGGTTACGGCATCCCTTTCCATAATTTGAATTGTGAGGTTTGGCAATTAATCTTAATTGTTAAGACACACATATGAACTATCTAAGGAAAAAGTGTATAAGTTCAAGAAGTCTTGATAAAAGATTATTAAAGCACTAAGTATTAGAAACATGAACTTAAGAAATTCAATAAGTATTGTTTTTCTGAAAGTTAAGATGTTTATGAATACATGTCGAAGCTAATGGGAGCATAAGTGTTATGTTTTATAATAATCATCATGATAGTGGGAGCATAAAAGTTATGATTGTATGATTATTATGGAAAGTTTTGCAAGTTGGCAATATTAATTATAGAAAACAAGAGTCATACTTTGCAAAGTTGTAAGAGTTGAAAGGTTGTTTTGCTATAATTAAGGGAGAGAATATTATTCTTCATTTCAAATCTAAAGGATTAGGTTGAGAAATGTTAATAAACTTAGTCAAGGGTACATAGTGTGTTCTTAAAGTTTCGATTATGATTACGGCATTCCTCTCACAATTCGAACTTTGAGAACATAGCAAATAAAACATTATGCATCGTGTCCCGTACGCTTCGAGTAAAGGATCGATTGCAAATGCTTTAATGTTTGACCATTCTAAATTTTTCCAAATGTCTAGCGCATTTATAGGGAAAAGGGACTAGAATCGGTTTTGACTAAAATAATTAAACAACTGTCAAAGAACAATCCAAAGTTCGACGAGGATTGGTTGCTTGTGAGTAGTTGGAAGCATGGTATTAATGGACCATATTGACATTATGATGAATAGAAAAG